CCGCGCTTGGCCACGCCAGGACCGATTAAAGGTGAGTCACGCGTATGCTCGAGGCTCGTCTCGGGGAATGGATTCAGCGGGCTACGTCTACGATCTTCGGGCTTCAGTGTGGACCTGACAGCACGTGGCTGTCTGGATCTGAGATGGTATAGACGTCCCGTCGCGAGTGGGTGTGAAATAGCCGTGGTGTTCCCCGCCAAATATAGTTATCCCGTCAGTGGTTACGAAGTTACCCGTGGTGGTTACCGCTGTATATAGTCTCGCTATTGAGTGGTTATGTGCTACCCTGTGGTGGTCAACACCCTAAGTAGTTATCCAGTGGAAGTTGTGTTGTTCAAGAAATCAACGTGTTGCCTTCAAGTCTTGGCGTGTGTCTGAATAGGACCCACTACAGATCCAATTAACGTCGTTAACAGGGGTTCTAGTGTAAAAATGTTTTATTCACGCTTGTATTACGCTTACGAAGAAGTCTTCCTGTTTAACAATTCTGGAAAAAATCCCGATGAAGCTGGTTGTTGTAATCACCAGCGAAACGTTGTACTCGAATTGGAAATGTTGTGGGTTTACTCTCCAACACAAACACACTGGTGTGCTGAAGTAGTAACTAATTGGCTGTGTGTCAAGCCGTGCCGGGTTTAACGACGCATTTCTATTTACGAGATCTAACCCTGTAATGGCAGTTCACAATGGCATGCTCCTACGCATGATGCCACGGGGTCTCTTATATTTACTGTGAAGCAGATCGCGTGTATTCTTTTACGGTTAATACACCCACAGCATGACATAATGATCTAAGGAAGAGATCGGGATTTTTCAGATATAACTGTTCGACCCGAACTATTGATACTTTGATTTTTGCACTGTCCTTGTACTATTCGCCTTTTGGCGTTGTTATCGGGTTTAAGACCGAAGGTGAGAATGCCATACAGGAGGCTGCAGCTCTGAAGTAGGCCAATACGTTTGAAAAACAAAGAATACATTATTAAAACATTTTGTTTGAATGTTTTATCACATACATGTATGGATAATTTAGACAATGCGTTGTGTTTATTTTGTGTTTGAAGATCTTAACACCTTTTGTATTCTTGCGGGAAAGTTTACAGCCTATTTTTTAAAATGTATCATCAATAGGGATCTTTGTGTATGTGTTTGTACCCCACATTACATCGACAGGAATAGCACAACGTTCTGTTAATCATCCTTTGGGAGGAAACCGGAGAACCAACACAAAAAAACTAAACCAACTTGGCATACAAGGGGATAGCATGCAAAATTCCACACTGATGGATTCACGAAAGCGAGGACAGAAATTGTTCTTAATTGCTCATAAATCATTCGGCAGGCTGACATTATATTAAGATCAAAAATGCCGGAAGAGAATCGGTGTAAACCTCCAATGAAATATGCGAGTCGAAGTGACATCACAACGCTCTGGGCATGGCCCTGGTTGCTATGGTGACGTCATTACAACAACCCCCACACAAAATGGCCGCCATGCAGTCATCATCATCATGGCATAGACCAGTCTATTTGTTTTTAATCTTAAGTTCGTTACTTGTATTAATATTCATGTTAGTTATAGTATTAGTGCTACTGATATAGTTATGCAATGTTATTAATTGTTGGTTGTCTTTTTTTTACATCAACTTACGAGTGGTTCTGCCCGCCCATGAGTTATCTCTTAATTTCACAAGCAATCGTCTGAACTCCCGAGTGGAGTTACAATGAGTCTTATCTTACTCAAATGCGTAATATAATATTGGTGAAGACGGTGATTTGTGATGACACTGTCGTGGTAGAGGCTCTAATTCATAATGTCGGTACTACCACTCGTCTCTTGCAATCTAAACTAAATTAAAATTTTGTTTCATTTTACCAGATAAGGCCCGCTGAGCTATATAGCTCTTTTTAAGAAGCGACCTGGCATTCACAAATGGTAGCTCAACGAGGTGGCTTTCATTACGTGGACATGTAGATCGCAACACAACCGCTTGTGTTAATAATAATGAAAATAAATGATTCAAAATATCACGATCGAAACGTCGTGATATTTTTAATAACTTTATATTAAGTTCGCTTGCTTGCTTGCTTGCGTGCTTGGGTGCTTGCTTGCTTACGACTGTGCAAATCTTTCGGTCGTTTTTTAACCCACTTCCCGTGATCCAATCGAGCTGACATTTTGCACACAGACTCGTTGTGCGAGACAATTAATGTTCGTGAAATTTTTTTTCCAAAATTTTACACTGTTTAGGGAAAATAAATTAAATATGTAATTACCAATTGCTTAATACTGGCAGACAATCATCTGACCCATAGGTGGCAGCCATCTCAAGCCAGAGGACGAGAGGACTCTAGCCGCCACGCATATAAAGGATTTATAGTGAAAAACTTTGTTTTTATGAGTTATACTTATTAATCACTTTTTTTTCTATCTCCAAGCGGTTGTGTTGCGATCGAAACGTAGTGATATTTTTAATCAGTTTTATTATTATTTTTATCTACGTTACTTTACCGAAAGAACCATAGAATAGTAAGTGCTGTGAGCGAGCACTTACAAAGGCCGGCAGGGCACACGGGGGCGGGGGTAGCCAGCACCACGCCCGCACGCCTTTCTCTCTTCCCAGCACTGGATGTTGACATGCACCGCCACATGTACTCATTTAAGGCTGAGCCGACCTAGGGGGACCATTCACACACGCACACACTCACACGTTCCACATCAGCAACACGGAGTCACAAATGGGCCGCGATGGCTGTCGTTATGTCTGGTTGGTCACTGTATTATTTTTTCATTAATTTTATTGTTATTTTTTACACACATGTACGAAATAACTACATCGACTTATCCGTCACACACGCCGGGATCAGTGCTCACACCACGCGGAGTTTTTTTTTCTTCTTCTCCTTTTAATTCCGCGAAAACCGAATAAAAACGGAAAAACCGAAAACAAAACCGAAACCTCCCCTCCCACCCCATCCCGCCACCAAAACCCTCTTCCAAAAAAAAAAACCCCGAAAAATTAAACACATTGAAAAATATATCAAAATAAAAGTGTTTCTAGAATATAACCCAAACTCTGCGCATGCGTGTCTACCACATCAACAAGTCTACCAATACATGGACAGGTAAAGTGTATAGAGCAATAGGAGTGTAGGAAGGGGGGGGAGGTTGGTGGATTGGTGGAGGGGGAAGGAAGGGGAGGCTGGGGTGAAGTGGTGGGTGAATATAGTTGGGGGTGGCGTGTGACAGGTTCGGGTAGATGAGTTCCGCAATCGATTATTCGAGAAGGGGGGTTAAATGGGAATGCATGGGTCTGCCAGGGCATGCTTTACAATATTCGTATAGTGATTGTGTGTCTGTGTGAGAAGAGTACGTGTGTTCTGCGTGTATGTGTGTCTTTGTCGGTCATCTTAAACAATACTGGGTCTCCACTAGGTCGACTCAGCCTCGAATAAGTACCTGATGCGGTGTGTAAACATCGCCACTGGGGAGACAAAGGCGGTCGGGCGTGGTGCTGGCCACCCACCCCCTCGTGTGCCGTTCCGGCCTTCATAGGTGCTCGCTAACAGCACTTGCCCCAACAGTCTGTTAAGGCTACACGGGGAGGATCTATGTCTTTGTGTGCGTGTTGTGGGGAACGGTTGCACGGTGGTTAGCGCGCTACGCGACGAAACCCCGAGACCCGAGTTTGATTCCCGCTCTTGGCCAATATCAGTGACCAATATCTGAACCAGTCCTGGGCTTTCCCAAGGTCGACTAGGCCTTAAATGAGTGTAAACTTCACCAATGGACAGACAATTGCGGCCGAGCGTGGTGCTGGCCACTCCCTTTGATAGGTTCGCTAATTGCACTTGCCCTGACATCCTGTGTAGGCTATACAGGGGAGCTATGTCTTTGTGTATATGTATGCACGTGTGCAAGTGTGTTCATGTACGTGCGAGTGAATATATGCGTGCGCATGTGCACGCATGTGTTGGAGCGGTGGTGCAGCGATTATGACGGTGACCCCACAATTTCTGCAAGCTGGGTACGAATCCCAGCCACAATTACACAACATCAGCGGCGATTGATATCTGAACCTGTCCTGGACCTCCCCTAGGTCGACTCGGCCTTAAATCATTAGGCCAACATATTGCGCTACCTACTGCGCTGTATTTACATCGGCATTCGGCGAGATGAATATGGCCGCGCGTGGCTCTGGCGTGTGATTGGAGCGTATTGTTATTTCTTTCACGATATAATTACGGACACATTATTGTATTAAGCTTCGTCATAGTTTAAGTCAAATCTCAACACTCGTCCACCGCGTGTTGCTCAGAGGTGCAGCAATCCACCCAGTGGCTGCTTGATTATTAATCAGCTACACTTTTATCAAACGCTCGATTAATTTTCTCAACATTGTCGTGAATATAGCGGCCACCAGTGGCTGTTTTAGAGGGGTGTTCACGTTCTCTCCTTTGAATGCTCCGTTCCCGAATCGTTGATTCTCCCTTGCGAGGTATTGACACGTGCACGCTTCACGTATTGACAGGCGCATAATAATCGATATGCGAACCGATATTTATTCGGCGCATCATTATGCCCCTATTATTCCCAACGGACTGCATCAAAGCGTCCCTCCTGCAAGTTGCATCTATCGCAAACGATAGCATTGATCCCTCAATTAATCAATTGATTAATCGCCTCGGCTCGATTAACCGTATGCCGTGACGTGGTTCTGTTTGGAAGGACGTGGGGTTTAATCCCACAGGAAGCTGCCAGAACCTTGTGGGGTAGCGCAATCAAATGAATTGTTGTACCGTACTCCCTATGGCTCCCACGTTCCTGCTGTCTCCTCCTTGGCCCTGTTGATCACTCGAGTGGCCACGTCCTCGGTAGGCCCTCGTACCCCCCCTCCCCCCCCAAGCGTCATTGTTGGACAGGGATTCACAGCTACTACATGTGCACGCTACGGAGTTAAAATGCAAACAGATGTCCGTGACGTAACCCAGAACGATGGTGAGGTCAATGCCTTTATTGCGTGTGGCAAGAAAACTAGCGCGCCTGGAGAATGGCCCAACATATAGCGGGAATAACACATAACGTCCGCTATATATATAAAGGAGAAAGGGCAAGTAGATAATCTGCCTTCTTTCTGTACTGTCTGCAACTCGAACCCCATGCTGGAAAGGTCACGTAGGTGATCGCCCCCTGCTAAACTGGAAGTTTCAACCGCAGCGCTTCACGTGCAGCAAGAAGCCACGTTAAGTTAACAACCACGGCAACACAAAACGAACATTGATAACCACTTCCCGGTGTTTGATCGATAGCAATATGAAGGGGCGTCCGTAAAGCTACCACACTTCTGGGAGGCTCAACCGGGACACGTGGATGAAGCTAGGCAACCCCTCCCTAAGACCCGCCCACTTTTATAAAGTCACGCCCGCTCTGCCACTAGCACCGCATGCGCAGCGAGCGCATTTGGTCATTTGGACGTTGGCTTCGCCCACTACTCCGATCGCCCCTCCCACTGTTCAAACAGCCATGCCCACAACTCGGATATCCCGCCCACTACGGGGGTTGCCCCGCCCACTACGTGGCTAGCTCCGCCCTTTGCCTGGATCACGAGTTAAGAATGAGTCTTAAACCTGGGACTAAAATGCAGATATTCGCCAAAAAGCTTTTGGGGCACAGGAACGGACTTTCTGAAACCACTTGGACTGTCGCGGCCAGAGCAGGAATAGGAATGTTTGGGGTGTTGATTCGGATGGGAAGAGATGCTTTGTCCAATGAATGAAACGTGTGGTTAGGTGGGTGGGTGGATGGTTGATGTTGGTGGGGGATTTTCTCAGTAATATATATCGTACTGTAGTTCAGTGTCTCTATATAACAATAACGGTATTAATATACACGCGCGGACACACATCACCCACAAGTTATGTCCGTCTCCATATACACACACACATACATATATTGTGTTCATATGTACTGTGGACAGACCTTCAATATATATATACACATGGTAACAGAACCTTGGAGACCAGAACCAAGAGAACATGTCATATATTGAAATAGCATTTTTTCCCCCTTAAATGTATGTTAATCGAGCGCAATTCCTGAGAATTGCAATGCAAAGGGGCCAAACGTTAAGAGCGCAAATTATTATGTCGAGGCTAAGAAAACAAAAACACTATCCTGGATTAAGAAAGGTGATGTTAGTGATATTGTGCGCACATTTTTGTCCGCGTGTGTCCCTACATAGTGAGGGGGAGCGGTAGTGTAGCGGTTAGCGCGCTGCGCTACCCGAGTTCGATTCCCACTCACAGCCACCAACACCTGTGACCGTTATCTGAACCGATCCTGGGCCTCCCCTCGGTCGACTCAGCCTCAAATGAATATCCGAGGCGGTGTGGCATCATCGCCACGCGGGAGACAAAGTTGACCGGGCGCATGGCGCTGGCTCACCACCCCCTCACGTGACTTTCCGGCCTTCATCGGTCGTGCCGTGGACTTTAAAAAATATCCGAATGATGTTGGTGACTAAGAACAAACCTTGCAGCTCAGGCGCATGGCAACTGCAGGAAAACGAATTTGAACTGGCAAAAGGAAGGAAGCGATGGCGTGGTGGTGTGGTGGTGGCTAACGTAATAGGTGCTCGCTAATAATGGTGATGCTTCATACGTTCGAGTGAGTCGTAGGTGATGCAAGTTGCAGATCACAATCGCTGAGGAATCTCAGGCCAAGCTGGAAGACATGCAGCAGCAGCAGCAGTAGCATCAGCAGCAGCAGCGGCAGCAGTAACAGCAGCGGCAGCAGCGGCAGCAGCAGCAACAGCAGCAGCAGCGGCAGCAGTGGCAGCAGCGGCAGCAGCGGCAGTAACAGCCGGGTGGGGAGCTGGGACTACGAACAATTATACACTGGTCAACAACAAAAAAAGTTTTTTTTCTGGCCTGGACTTTTGCAGCTGTTTTAGACTAATTTCAGGGTGCTGATTCCAAATCTGTTTTCAGATTTGCTCTATCACATCTCATTTTTATGCTATCGGCATTACCCCATTTTCATTGATTTTACCCGAAATTAACTCTGTCACTTATGATTGCAAGTTGTTGCGAGTCAGTGACTGCTTTAGTGTTATTATAGTGTGTTTATAATATAATTTTATGTAGATATCCACATTTATTTAATATTTTTCTTCTGCAGTTTTGATTGAAAATGCAATATTTGATACCTCAAAAACCTGATGTGATAGACAAAAACTGATGCCAGATTTGGAATCAGCACCCCAAAATTACATTATAACCGTTGGAATACCTTATGCCAGAAAAAGTGTGTTGACCAGTGAATTATCAAAGCTCTGGAGTTCTCTCTATAGTAAGTTGTTTTTTTTTTGTCCATCCATGCTCGAGCTCATTACAGACAACGGCGAATCGTCGCCAACTGCATCTCCGTTGTTGTTGTTGTTGCGACTCGATAAGACATTGACAATCGATTGACAGTTTGTTTCTCATGGTTCTGGTCAAAGGAATCGAGGCCCGGTTTCACCACAAGATTGCACCGACCGTGAGGACTACGGCGGCGATTGAAATCGCGAAAAGCTCGGAGAGGTACAATGATAAGATTGGAAAAAAAACAAGACCTCTCGATGAGAAAATAAACCAACGCACGAACAAATCAATATCCTTGCGTCTCTCTTTTCTTGTATCTACACAACTTGCTATACGAGCTATTTATTAAGCTAGTTTAAGCAATTTTTTTTGTATTGTATAGGCATAGAGCCGCTACGTAGTTTTATTTTTTCCAGAGGCAACCTGGCCACAAATGATACGTCAATGAAGTGGCTCGTCACCACGTGGACATTTATTACTGCTAATCCTACATAATACACGAGCATAATATGACTTTGAGACTCCCCCATCACCTACACATTCCACAAGTAGTGAATAATCCCATATCTGCATTTACCATAAATATGATACATTCCTGTTGATATGCAAATTCCTTTGTCAAGGCTCCCTCCTCCTTTAACCCAGCTTAAATATACGCTGCCAAGCTTGGTGGTGTTCATTCGGACGCTGTCTTTCCGACAGCCCTGTTCTTCACCTGAGGACGGCTGCTTGCGTTGTGGCCGAAACGTCGTGAGAATTGTATTTTATATTGTTTAATATTTATTATTTTATTATTTCCCTTCTACGTGACTTTACCGAAAGAACCACGAAGATGAGCCCAATACTCTCAACGCGTGACGTTGATTCTAAATGTGGAGGGGAAGGAGGGAGGGAGGGAGAAAAGCATCACTGTCAAGCGGTGGAGCAGTGGATTGAGCATGGCTGTTGATGTTATCGGTGGAACGTGAATCTCAGGAGCTCGCTGGTGATGTCTCAACCAGTGGCGTCACAAGTGCTATGCACGTAAGTGCTATGAAGAAGAGGCCCTTGCCCGAAACGTCGCCTATTGTGTGTATGTATATATATATCTGTTTTTGTAAGGCAAAGTTATTGACCAATGTAATGAGTTAGTATTGTTAATTGTGATTGTGTGGCACTGCCAACGCAGCAGCGGAGCAATTTGAACTGGAACGCAATTATTGAAGGCGGATCGGGATCAAAAGTCCCCAATTATTTATTTTTAGTTTTCATTACTTTGCCCATATTTTTTTTTATGGAATTGGTATCGTGCCGCTATTAAACTCCAGATTGCTTCTTTTAATTGTAGATCGTAGTTTTAGACATCCTTGTAACTCAGCCTGCCTAAACGTGTGTAGTTACAAGATAAGATCGGGTGTTTTGAAAAAACGTATTTTAAAGAATAATTCTTTGCTCTAATAGAGGCACCCGATTAGAGACAATCGTACTTAAGAAATTATGACAGAATTAACTTTCTATGAGCTGAATATAGTTTTATAACCGCACTCACACAGACACACATACACACAGACACACATACACACAGACACACAGACACACAGACACACATACACACAGACACACAGACACACATACACACAGATACACAGACACACATACACACAGACACACATATACACAGACACACAGACACACATACGCAGACATACATACACACATACACACAAACACACAGACACACATATACACAGACACACAGACACACATATACACAGACACACATACACACAGACACACAAACACACAGACACACATACATACACACATACACACAAACACACAGACACACAGACACATACACACAGACACACTCCGGTACGCACCAGTATTATCCATATCGACATTATTAATAATATCATGAACTTCACCAACTTCAACACTGCTGAACATTAGAGTTCGTATCGATTGATTAATCGATTCTTTACGCTCGCGACGCATGCACCAATTCGCGCGGGAAATAATCGATGAGTGGTTGATTAATATGCACGCAATTGTATTATCTGGATTAGTCGCTATTCGAATCTACTCCACAAGAGAGGGTGGTGCAGGGGGGGGTGCAGGGAAGTGAGAAGCGAAATCTGCGGAAGCAGGAGCGAAACCCCCGGGGAAGGGACCACTCGGAGCGAGACGCGAATACTCTCGAGCCGCTCCCGCGGATGTCTAATATCCCAAACTGCTCAGCAATACACGGTGCTTAACACAAAATGTCACCACACTTATTCCGGGACTATCGTTTTAAATGGAAGAATAACGGATAATATACTACACAGTAAGTAACATGATAACAAATGCGATGTTAATAGCTTCAAAAAGTCTCCCCACTTATTCGCCATCGTTGTCAACGCGTGCCTGGAATCATCTACTCCGGGTGGTCTCCAGAGCTCGGAGGCACAAACATTTCTCGTAGGTGTCGTTGCAAATTCTCAGAAGTGTTAAAACAATATTTTGAAGCACCCTGTAGTTGAGCGCTAACCAGCCCGGGCATCTGAACGGGGAGATGATGACGACGATGACGATGATGCTGATGATGTTCATGCGCATCGTAGGGTGAACGAATTCTGTCCACCACCACCACCACCACTCCCGCCATGGTCTGTTGTTCCCACAGCGCTCAAGATCACATCGCAGTCGCGGTTGGCCAAAGCTACGAGTTGGGGGGGCCCCCCTTGACAACCAACATGAGATTTGTTTTCAACAACAGTGTCAAAGGACAATACACTTATTTAAACACGCGGTTTACATGTATATATTGTTTTGATAGAAATGCTGTCAATCACGTTCCACGTTATATTTGAATTTCATGAAATTCGAGCAGTAACGTTTGGCGACTGCGAGAAAAATAAAATATATATTTTTTTTGGGGGGGGGGGGTGCCTCTACCGATTGCCGCAACCCCACTGATAATGTATTCACTACACCACTGATAGATCGACAGACAGATGCGATACACAGATAAGGGTTGAGATTCTCCGTGGGCGAAAAATGAAGACGCAATCGAATCCGCGACCGGTTTCACAACAGCCTCGGAGCTTCTAACACGCGGCGAGAATTGATCGCAAGGCGCTGCAACACCAACACAATCTCCAAACCCTCACCCCGACCACCACGTGCACACAACAGGTCGAAGACATCAAAGGTGGGAGCGATGAAACAAATAAAAACACGCGCAAATCAAAGTACAAATCGTCGTATGTACATTTTGTTGTTGTTGTTGTTGCCTTTTGCATACTCATCGTCACTGACAATGAATGGACGACCGTTCAGGGAAGCATCAGAAGCTAAAGCCGTTTGTTGACGGGTCCACTGCGACTGTTCATGTTTGTTCTTGATGTTGTTCCACTTCGCCTTTACGAACCGCGCAGTGAACAACGCCAACGTTTGCCCAACGTTCAGCTGAACGTGGGGCCAACGTTGCAATGATTTTTCAACGTCTCCAGAAGCATCGTTTTCAACGCCAGTTGAGTCCGTTACGCGCTGCACTTGCCCGATGATTGGTAAACGCGTCTCGCGCTGCGTCACGTGGTACACACGCGCGCAATAGGCAAAGATCCCCCGTTCAGCCTCATGGGAGTGTTTGGGACAAGTGCTGTTAGCGAGCACCTATGAAGGTCAAACACGGCACACGAGGGGGTGGGTGGCCAGCACCACGCCCGGCCGCCTTTGTCTCCCTAGTGGCGATGTTTACACACTGCAACAGGTATTAATTTGAGGCTGAGTTGACCTAGGGGAGGCCCAGGATCGGTTCAGATAATCGTCACCGGTGTCGATGGCCAAGAGCGGAAATCGAGCTCGGGTCACGGGGTTCGTAGCGCAGCGTAGCGCTAACCGCTGCGCCACCGCTCCCCACGGTCCTCGGCTGCATTTGACGCGGCCCTCTGTTCGCCGCCGCCGTGTGAAGGCGCGTTTACCAATCATCAGGCTCGTGCGGCGGGCGTGCAACGAATCGTTTCGTGTTTGATATTCAGAATGAGGAATGTGTTGTCTCGAGGAAGGTGAAACCACACCGGCACATTCGTCAACGCACAGTGTGTGGCTTTGAAAGGAAAATAAATAGTCGACGTTTCGGGCAATGACACTTCGTCGTAGCACTTAAAGAGGACCATTGCCCGTAACGTCGCCACTATACATGTTATTTTAATAAGCCACAGAGTCATTATTGACAAATACGTTGGAATATTGTTGTTTGTGCACCACTGACAACTCAGCAGCCCGCATCAACACCACCACCACCACCACCGAAGGTCACGTTGTGATTCGTAACATTACCGCAGTCATCCCACGTTGGGCTCGCTTCAACACCCTTCACCCCATTGGCGTAGACGTCTCAACCTCGTGCCGTTATCATCCCCCGCCCCCCTTCGCTGTGGCATCTACGGAGGTACCACACCGCAGTCCCCCCACGCTGCCACTCCCTCTGTACGATTTCTCAATCGTGCCCCCCCCCCCCCAAATATATGAACACTCGTTCAGTCTTCCTTCCCATTGAGCCCATGAGTCCACTGACACGATATTTGACTCGCTGGGTACCACCCGATGTGGCATCGCTCTTTAGCCGCTGTCAAAGTCGTCACGTGGCCCAAGATCAGCGAAATGTCAGACTCATAATCTTTACATATCCTGGAGGAATTACATGACAATCGCTTGCAATGAGCGTGGGTGGTCAGGTTATTCACTCTCAATGGGGCGCGGTAGTGGTGGCGAGGAGATGGCATCTCCCTCACCCCCCCGCCCGGTACGCATGAGACCCGTGGGTTCGATTCCCTACCCTGGCGGTGCCTGTTTGTATATATTGGTGTCCGCGCGGTCTCTCGCTCTCTCTCTCTCTTCCCGTGGTGGTCGCGTGGATTTGTCTCCGGGTCCCTCGGGTGTCGCCCTCCTTCTCCACGCTTACAATCAGCACGCGTTGTTTAGATTAAAAATGTCTGCGACTCAAGATTCCACGCGTGACGGTGATGATGGTGATGATGGTAGCAGCCACTACGATGACGAGACCTCATCACGTGAGGGCCTAATCGCCTCTGAACAAGAGCCAGTAGCGCAGTGCGCTTGAATCCTGAACGAAGCTGTAATTCATATAATTTTTATCAGTTTTTTGGGGGGAAGGTCAGGGTGGACGTGTGGACAGGGGATTTGGGGCTGTGAGCGAGTTTATTTATTGTCGGACAGATCAGTGGGTCACGTGATCTCTGACTCAACATTAAACACGCGCACAGACACGTACGTCTAGCACGGCCGTGTCCAGTGAAGTAACTTCACCATTGCAACCTTTAAAATATGACGAGCATGATGATGGCGATGATGACGATGCATCGTGCCGCTTGTTGAGAGACAAGGAACTTCCGTGGTTGGCCAATTCGAATGAATTTAGAGTTCGCCTTTGTGAGATGGGGGATAGGGGAACTGCAGACGGTGGGGGATGCCATCCGCTCAGAGCGTGGATATGGCTCTCTCTATCTCTCTCTCTCTCTTTAACATGGACGGGTTCACGATCCCCCAACTTGCTGTACTGCCATGTCCTTGGCCAGCGGCAGTTCTGTACGATTCCCAGGCGCGGCTCACATCAGTGGCGAGTGGGATTCTGGGAAGCGGTCGTGGGCCCTTGTCCCTCGCCGCTTCAGCATCTCGCACCGACCGGCGTGGTGAAGTATGGTCAAACAACCCCCCCAACGACGGGCGCACAGAGACGTGGGGAGACGGGGGGTGGAACGACTTCCACTTCGCGGTGGACTGATAAATGAATGTTATTATTATTGTTATAAAGAACAAAAAAACACGTGATTATACTTCCTTATTACACGAATGAAAACTTTATAGGTTACGTGGGGGGGGGGGGGTTGAAAGAGGTGACTGCGTTTTAGTGGCCACGTGTTGTAGTTGAAATTAAAACGCAGCTGTAAAAAAAACAACCCGAAAGGCTTTAAGGTTACTTAAAAAAGTACTTCGGTAACAACAACAATAAGCGGGCATTACACGCCTTCTCCACGCATCTGATCTGTCCATCCACACGGACGCTAAAAACAATCGATTATACGCATCCGATCAGCCGCAAGGTTGGGGGACTACCTGGGAGTGCACCACTTCCGTAGCGTGTTGGTTGCAAAATAATCGGTTTTCGACATTCAGTGTATTATCAGCGGTAGTCAGCGTCGCACGAATCAACGCCGCTGGATCTCCCCGATGTTTATAATGGGAAAGAACTACCCCCCCCCCTCTCTCTCTCTTCGATATCGGGGTCCCAGTTCGACTCGCAACCCCCTCGCTCTCTGCGGGGTTATTCGGATTGTGGGATTTCACGTCAATTCGGCTCGCCTATTTCTACCCAAGATTCGCTATATGCGTGTTGAATTCGCTCACAGTGCGGCTATGCGGTCGAACGTGGGTCAACATTGTGCGTGCAGCGTGTGCACTACCCGGCAGGCAGCGGACTCACAAAGACAAATATACCCCTATAGCCTTGACAGACTCTTGGGACAAGTGCTGTTGCGCGAGACTGCACCTATGTAGGCCGGTACGTTGTATAACCATGCCCGACCGACTTTACACACGGCTTCAGGTACTAATTTGAAGCTGAGTAAACCTAGTTGAGGCCCATGACCCGGTTCAGATAATAATCACTGGTGGTGGCCGTGAACGGAAATCAAACTCGGGCCTCCGGGTTCATAGCGCAGCGCGCTAACCGCTACACTAACGCTCCCCGCTGTCCCACACACACACACAGATACCCACAGAGAAATACGTCCACACAGATACAAACCGAGATACGACACTGTGTGTGTGTGTACTGTGTGTGTACTCGGCAGGCAGCTGTCACATCGTGCGGTTTCGCTTTGTGCGTGGGGAACCTGTCGTATAATACAAAACACGTAAGAATGATGAGCATCGCCGTTTCGAACATACGTACCAACATTATTTAAGTAACTTTAAAGTCTTTCCACCCCCTCTACCCCTCCCCCCCACCCTACCCCTTAATCACGATTGGCAAAGTCTCAACGTCACAATGGGCAGCCCGGAAACACGTGGCCTGAACAATCGCCAGTTGTGACGTGGAGAGATATGACGTATGTAGCTGTGACCTCTACAACTGTGACGTGTACAGCTGCACGTGTTGATCGGCCCTTGTGTTGATTTCATGACCGTTCAGACTCTCATTGCTGCTAAATAATAATCTTCACATTATTAGTACTACTGCTACTACTGTAATTATGCATTGTCAGTATTACTACTACTACAATATTACTTATGCAATTATTATTGTGTGGATTATTGTTGAAGAATGCGAAAAAACCCAATCGTGAAACTGCGACATGACAACTTCTATCCGTCTCTTGTTCTTATTTTTTTTTGCTAAAGCGTAGCCTTAAAGATTATTTCAACTCAAGAAAACAAGTATTAAATCAACCGCAATGCAACCGGATAATTGGTAGGTCTCCTGTAATTGAAAACAAAAATCTACCCACGACAAAGTATTTTAAGCTACAGGGACCAGAACTGCATATTGCTCCAAGTACTCTACACATCACATCACCTGCAGCGGTTTACATCACGGCTGTTGATGCTGATGGGCGAGCGGTGGTGGTGATGGCATCAGCATGATGTACGTTACCGCCGAGTATCTGATGAATATCCAGAACATTCGTCAAACGAAAATAATCACTTTGTGATAAACACAACGAACCCAGTGGGGGGAAATTTGACAGAGATTGCGTTTCGATGTCTTGATGTCGGCCAATGCATCTCAAGCGATGACTGCGGGACAAAAAGGGGGCTTCCTTTTTCAACCCCATGTTGGCAAACAGGGCAAAAAAAAAACATTTTCCTTGCCACACATTCCCGGCACACCACGGCCAGTATACAAGCACGTGTCACCATGGGCTGGTTAGCACTGGTTAGTAGGAGCAGTGGTAGGTCCACACGCGCTTACAAGAGGGACAAACCGTCACACTCTTCCGTGATAAAATTAAGCCCTGAATAATAGATATGAGGTCTTACGATCAACGATGTATAATCATTCATATGAATAGGCTACATTATGATGGGTTTTTTTGTTGTTGTTACCATTGCATTATTGTTATTCTTTATTGTTGTTATTATTCTTATTGGTTGTGAATATTGTCCTCGTAGTCGTCGTCGTTGTTGTTGTTGTTGTAGTTGACAATGCGTTGTTGAAGTTTGCTGTTTGATGTTTGTTGTTGATGGCGATGACGTCATCCGCGTTGATTGGTGGAGCCGTTTCATTTTAGTTGCAGGAGACCGTCTGGGTGAAGAGGAGCAGAAGGAACGTCGCGTGGAGGAGAAGCCACGGGCTCGCCACGGCCTTCGCACTGACACCGTTGTTGTCATCACGCACTGATCCCGGGCCTAGGGAGACACACAAGCGACGAACTGACTCACTAGTGAACTTACTTTTTTTTTAAATCACGTTTTTGTAAAGAGGTGAGGTACCAGCCACGGGCTGCCCCCCACTTCCGCAAGCCGTAGTGACCAGCATGGTGAAGTATGGTCAAACACTCCCCCCCCCGCTCTCCCCCCCCCCCACCCCCACTTGACTGGCAGTGTGAGAAGGCCTCCATCCAGCGATGGAATGACAAAGGGCAGTAGTTAATTACAATTTTTTTTTTTATATTATTTTATTATTTCCCTTCTACGTGACTTTACTGAAAGAACCAAGAATACAATTATTATGATTGTTTCATTATCTCTCTTGCTTCTTGAAAAAGTAAAAAAACTTAAATATATTTTTTGTTTATTCACCAGGTGAGGTCCACTGAACTATACAGCTCTTGTTCAGAAGCGACCTGGCCACAAATGATAGCTAAACGAAGTTGGTTTATGTGTGGGTTTCTAACAGGCAAATTCTCTAAACGCATGTTTCTGAATGTGGAGGAAAAAAACCGGAGGACCCGTAGAAAAATTCACGCGATCACGGGGAGAGAGAGAAAGACGCCAACTTCAAATGTACAGACATCGTCAGGGTCAGAATCGAACCCACGACCTCATGTACACCAGGCGAGGTAGTTAATATCTCGTCACCGTTTAGCCTTCAACAGACGTTTCAAGCAAGTGCTGTTAGCCTGTATCAGCATCTATGAAGTCTGGAACGGTACACGAGGGGGTGATGTGGCCAGCACACCACGCCCGACCGCCTTTGTATCCCCAGCGGCGATATTTACACACGCCGCACCAGGTACTCATTTTGAGGCTGAGTCGACCACGGGGAAGCCCACGACCGGTTCAGATAATTGTCCCACTCTAGACTGAGTCTGAATCCCACTAGATACTCGTGTAACATTCAAATTACTCCGTATTCAAATCTACTCCCTGCCGTATTGTAATCGTAGCAGCCTCATCAATTACCTACAGAGACTCATACATTAATTATCCATATAGGAACATTCATGTATTGGTTGTACAAGCCCAGTAATTGCTCATACGGTAATTTAGCTCAATTCCCCGAACTGCAAACACACCAGCGGCAGTGTCAAAACACATTCACTCACATCTTCTGTTTCCTCCCGTCTAGGGCAGTGTCCTTCACTAATTCTCAGAAGAGATGGGGGGGGGGGGGTCGACGACGACTACCTTCAACGATAAGACATCATCGGTAGCGTGAGAGCCGCCACACATCCCCCCCCCCATTCCAATACCACCCTCCCCCTCCGTTGAAACGGAGCTCGCTAACTCAGTGCCCCCCACCCCCTCTACACCAAAGTTATTTACTTATTTTCCAGGGCTGGGGGAGAGGGGGGGGCACTTTGGTCGATAAGACATCATTAGAAGTGGTGTGAAGGCCGCCACACATTTTGAAATCATCGTTGGGTTTGACAGCAGTACGGTGACGATGACGATGATGGTGGTGATGGTGATGATGGTGATGATGGTGGTGATGGTGATGATGGTGGTGATGATGGTGATGATGATGGTGGTGATGATGATGGTGATGATGATGATGGTGGTGATGATGGTGATGATGATGGTGGTGATGATGATGGTCATGATGGTGGTCATGATGGTGATGATGATGGTGGTGATGATGATAGTCATGATGGTGATGATGGTGATAATGATGATGATGGTGATGATGGTGGTGATGATGATTAGGATGATGATGGTGATGATGGTGATGATGGTGACGATGATGGTGATGATGATGGTGACGATGATGATGCTGTTGATGATGGTGGTGATGATGATGATGGTGATGATGATGGTGATGATGATGGTGATGATGGTGGTGATGATGATGGTGATGATGATGATGGTGATGATGGTGGTGATGATGATTAGGATGATGATGGTGATGATGATGACGGGGTGTGTTGTCACCATTTGTGTTTGGTGTCGGGGTGGCCGCATGTCAGGGTGCCACACTGAAGGCCACCAGGGGGGGGGGGTGGCAGTGGCCCGCGTGGCCTTGCGATGGAGAACGTCGCTCTGAGATGTCCAACATTGCTGCACAAGCAACCGTCATCAGCTGGGACAACCACAGCAAGTACTTCAGCAGTTTGTTTTATTGCCGTGGTTGTCCCATCTGATGACGATTGCTTGTGTTGCGATCGAAACGTCGTGATCTATTTTATTTTTCTACCGACGTGACTTTACCGAAGGAACCAAAGAGTATAGTCACGAAAGCTTCAATTCAAGACATCGCTGCTCACTTTAGACTGAGCCAGGATTCCACTCGTGATGTTTAAATTTGTCATGGGCTCGTGTATAATGAGAACGATCGTTATCGTCATCGTCATCATCGTCGTCGTCAGCTCTGATGTATCCACTGCTGGAAAAAAAGGTCGTGCCACTGATGATGTATGTGGGGTTTTCCGAACTCCAGTCCTCACGGCCCCCTCACCACCACTACCACCAATTCACCCCCCCCCCAATCAAATACCAATTAACTCGTCCCACGCTTCGCGCGCCTGATGATTGTTAAACGCGTCCCACCGAAGCAATTAACGCTGTATGCGTAAATGGAGAGCCAATTCGCGTTTAGATTCGAGATCGGTGTGCCCGTGCGTGTGTACAACGTTGTTCCACGCGTGCGTGTTGTGCACGTGGAAAATGTGGCTGTGTGTGTACACGTGGAACACGTGTGCGCGTGTGCACGTGGGGACGCGCGTGCGCGTTGTGCACGTGGCACACGTGTCTGTTGTTCAAAGCGTCACGTGGGACGCGTTCAACAATCATCGGGCGCGGGCAGTGTGCAACGGGTCGGGGGAGAGCAAATTGTTCACAGGGGAACGACGGAGCGTGGTGGTGGTGGTTGGTGGTGGGGGGGGGTGGCGGCGAGGATTTGAGTTTGGAAAAGCCTGGTCACGGTCTGTGGAGTCGGTCCATTGTCTGCTTATTCATTTCTGAGCACGAGAGGGCGCGAGAGGCGTGTCTACGGGGTGGCCTAAAAGTTAGGACACAGGGTTGTTTTCAGGGTGGCCCAAAAACCAGGACACATAAAGGGTTATTTTAACAGGTAGGCTTTCGTGTGCAATATCATCCATAACATAGTTTTTTGAGTTTGATCGCGTAAATGTGTCGTTAAACCAGCCACCACCTGATACAGCCAATTACTAAAGTTTTTCACGGAAACAGAACATGCCAATTCGTTACTAGTACAGCACAACGGTGCGTTGGAGAGCAAATCAACTACATTTACAATCCGAGTACGACGTTTCGCTAGTAATTACAACAGCCAGATTCGTGGAGACATCTTCTTATTTCGTTCCTTAAATAGATGGGTTTTTATTACTATACATAGTGGCCCAAAAGTTACGATACATATAGGGTTTTTATTTAGGGTGGCCCAAATTGGGGTTATTTAATTTACTCCCATACTGGCATTAAACATTTTTATTTTGTATTCGTTGAGCTTCATATGTTATCTATTGGCATTAATATCTATTTACTTTTTGCTTGTCAGATGACATTTAAGACTGGAGAGAAAATGCACTGAACACGAACGTATTTCAATAAGATTTGTGTACGTTCAAAAAGCAATCTGCAATCTTTAAAGCGTCCTGAATTCATTGCAAAACGAGATACCATGCATCATGCATGATGTTCAAGGAAGTCTATGTACGGGATAATTTACTTTTTGCCGGAATGAAAATTATGAAGAAGAAAAAGAAGAATCGGCTTTACCCTCTCCGGCAATAACACAGGAGTTGTTAAGATGTTCAAGCACCAAACAGACACAGACACACATTACAAGGCATCATCGAGTCTGCATTAACAACACATCATGCTTGTGATAAAAAAAAAACACGCGAACAAATGTTCTTTGATAATAATGTGAACATTGTATTTGAACCCGAGTTGGCCAAATCGGTGCCAAAGACAATGAATACGTTATCACAGGAAGTCTATTTAAACATTTGTTAAAGTAAGCGAAGCATGCCTGTGTTAATTGTTAAACATAAATACAACCATCCTAATGTGTCCTTCCTTTTAGGCCACCCTGGACATCTGTGAAACTATTTGACAGCTTCTTCTTGGTTCTTTCGGTAAAGTCACGTAGAAGGGAAGAAATAAACTAATACAAATAAAACATAATAAAACAATTCTCACGACGTTTCGGCCACAACGCAAGAACCAAGAAGATGAATCCCTGCAGTCACGAAAGTTTTAAATCGAAATTTACTTGACATCTATTCTAGATTTGAAGCTTTTGTAACTGCAAGGATTCATACGTTTTGTTTTTTTCGGCAAAGTCAAACTACTTGAGAACAATGACAAAGAGCTCCGTAGCTCGTCGGATTTATTCAGGATGAATACAAGAAAAGATTATATTTTTCGATTTAAAGCTTTCGTGACTGCAGGGATTCATCTTCTTGGTTCTTTCGGTAAAGTCACGTAGAATGGAAATAATAAAATAATAAAACAAAACATTATAAAATAATAAACTAATAATATAATATTATAATATAACAATATAATGTAATATTATTTTATTATTTTATTTTATTATGTTTTATTTTTATTACTTTATTAAAAAGAAAACATAATAAAATAATAAACTAATAATATAATATAATAATATAACAATATAATGCAATATTATTTTATTTCATTATTTCCATTCTACGTGACTTTACCGAAAGAACCAAGAAGAAAAGATTCTGAGAAGACGTGGGCCACACGTGGACCCTGGATGGCACCATTGACGTTTTTATTTATTTCAACAGGTAAGGCCCCACTTACCTATGCGGGTTCTTTTTCAGAAGTGACCTGGCCACAAATGATAGCTCAACGAAGTGGCTTGTCAACACGTGGAAATGTATAGCAGCCAAATACTCCAAACGCGTCATATTGATTCTAAACGTGGATGGAAAAATCTGGAGGATCCGGTGAAAAATCCACGCGACCACGGG